TTCTGATGAAACATCGCCTGAAAAACGTCTCAAAATGCACAAAAACTGCATCCAGAAATCAAATTGCCTAGTTTCTCATGGTAATTTTGGTGTTCAGACATTCTAGAATGACTCATACATCCCATGCACTTTTTGCAGTACACATAACTTTCGGATGAAATCCGAAGTTTCCACATTTATTAATCATATATTTGTGCACTTCTAGTTTTGGCATAAAGGATGCTTGAAGTGTACAGTATGTGGAATGACCCTTAATGTCAAAAATGTCAAAGGTTACGAAAAAATGCCTTATTGTCATGTGTATGTATCATATAATTGATCAATTAATGTTTCAAGTAATATTTTAAAACTTTCTTATTTAGACATTATCCGCAACCAAAACCAACAGTTGTTGTTGACAATCCAGAAATGCAACGTATTCGATTATTAACAGATATTCAAAGCAACGTGAGATGTTTTAATAGAAGACAAAAGAAAACATTGAAAACTCGAGTATATATTTATTAATAGGCGAAATATCATGAAGATTTCAATAAAAGTAAAGGAAAATTCACAGTAGTAGCTGATGATCCAGCTTTAACGCTAGCCAAAGAACATCAACGTATTGCTAGTCATGCTGAATATACTGGTAAACGAAAGGATAGTTCATCACAAATACTTTCTCATGGTAGATTTAAAACAATTCTAAATATGTTTTACTAAAAAACTTAATGGACTTGTTTTATCTTTCTATGAAGATAATAACCAATATAATAATGGTTCTAATCGAGGATATACATTATCGGAACCAAGAGTAGGTCGTGGTAAGTTTATTTGCTAAATTAAGTTAAAACTTTCCATGAAATGTATATAGTTGCGGACTATGATCCTTTAAATGATAATCGTGGTTCATTATCACGTGGCTATGAGCCAACATCAAAAGCTATGCAAACGACTAGTAAGCTAATCAATTGTTTATTTTCATTTAATCAATATTTTTTAATGTAGAATTTGAGATAAATCCATTGCATAGGCACAAATCTGACAAGAATGAAAATGGAAATAATATTCATCATGTTTCAGTAGACTCACATGATGATGAACAAGCAACATTAGTAAATTATTTTATTTAGATAAGAAAAAATAAGGAAAAATGTTTTGTTATGTTTTCATCTTTAGATGAAAGTTCGTGCACTTTATTCTTACACATCTGCTGAGTCTGATGAAATCAGTTTTACTGAAGGTGATACAATTATTGATTGTGAACATATTGATGCTGGTTGGATGTTGGGACGTCATCCAGTGACAGGCAAACAAGGTTTACTTCCATCAAATTATGTTGAAATAATTGGTTGAGAATGAAAATTCATTTGTTTTGTTTTCATTTATTGGGAATTTGATTTATTTCTCATAGAGTCTCATGTAAATATATTGTTTTTACTCAATAACAACGTTATATTCTTATTATCTTGTTTAACAAATGCCTTTTGCCGTGTGCATGTCTGTATCTGTTGAAATTCTTGTAAGAAGCCTTAGAGATGAACAAGGTGTTATTTGATTTTTGTTTATAAAAAATACAAGCAAAACATTCTTAACAAAAAGCTAAATAGTTTTGGAACAATTAGTTTTACTGTAATTCAAAAAGAATAAACCGTCTAAAATAATTGAATTGCGTCCGATGAGCGATTTAGAGTCAATGGATTTGATAAGATTTTCAAAATTAATTGTTGGCTATTATCAATGAACGCTTCTCTCGTCTTACAACACAGAAATTCTATTGTTATAAAAAAATAATGAAAATTTTTAATGTTCTGTCTTTTTTTCTTCTCACAATTTTAAATGGTTTTATACTTGATAAATATTTTTGTTTGCACAAAGAACAAAAATTATTTATTTTCAATTTTAATGATTTATCAGCTACAGCTTGATTGCGGACATTTTATTCCTTCAATTAAGAGAAAACGTCCGCAAAGTAGAAACAGGGGGAGAGAAACAAAAATAGTCGCAGAGTGGAAAATGTCCGTAAAGCAGAATCGGGGGGAGAGGAGAGAAAAAAATGTCAGCATTATGGAATCAAGACAAGATTTATTAAGCGAAAAAAACATACAGAAAAATCATTTATGAAGAATAGTTGAACATCTAACTGTGTTAGGTTGATAATCACGATTCATCCCAAAATGATAATTTTTAAAAACTATACCATCTTTATTTGATTATGTGGAAATCTGAGAAAAGCTATCATTTTTCACGATGAACATTTTTATTTGATTCGTCTAGGTTTAACTTCGTCACTGTAAATGTTTTTCTTTCACAATACATGCTTATAAAATGGACTGAATGACATGTGATGAACAACATTAGACTAGCTCGAAACAGTTGATATTATTCAGTACACCTATTCGCATGAATCATCTTAAAATATCAATTTTCGTTTGATTCCACAATGCGGACATTTTTTGCTCTTCCCCCCGATTCTGCTTTGCGGACGTTTTCCACTGCGACTATTTTTGTCTCTCTCCCCCTGTTTCTACTTTGCGGACGTTTTTTTCCAACAATTAAGAAAAAACGTCCGCAAACAAGACGCGCTTGATTTACTAAATTCATGATTTTTACTTTGAAATAGACATCTAAAGATTTAGAGCATAACTTGATCCTTTTTAAAGATTAAGTTTTGCTACTATTCAATAGAAAATAAATAAGTCTACCATCGAAACATCATTTTGTTTTGAGTTTTTCGAGGCGATCTAATACCGTTCGTTAGAAATTAAACATTAGAAATACAAAAACTTTCTTCAGTAACCGCCATACTGAGATACTATGTCAAACAATAAGCTTTAAACCTAGTAAAATAAACGTCTAGAGAGCTTTTGGTTAACAGATCAACGACTTTTTCTCTTTTTTCTCCCGTAAATATCTTCCATAAATTTTATGATGTACGACTGAAAATTTGCCATAATCTTTCCTCTGCATACATAGGGACCCGAGAAAATGTTTGTACATTGTTAATGTACTTTGAACAAGACTAATTTTGCTGGGCTTGAAATTTAGCAAACAAATTCACTTTAATCTTGAACGCACTATAATGATTGATATTGATTTATGCATTTCATATCGTGATTTATTCAATATGAACGATTGATTTTGGAATTTATCATTGATTTATTTCGAAGAATTTCCTAGATATATATTTTCGTCTAAATTATGATTATAAAATTTGACTTATGTTTAATTTGTTGAAACACTTCATTTTATATAATTTTTTACATATTTCTATAAAATAAAAACGTCTACAAAGTTTTATTGATTTAATTTTAAATGAAAAAGATTTTTTGTACAGCAACACAAGTTTATAATGAAAATGTTATTTTAACATGTGAACAAAATAAATAATCGAGGTTAGGAAGCCATATTCATTTTCTTTGCAATGTTTCTTGATTTAATCTTGCCGGTTTTAATTTTAGTATTGAGACATGATTTATTCATAGCACTTTAAAAATAAGCAACAACTCGATTAGATTATTTATTTTCTTATTGCATTTTTGTATTTTTTCGTTTAATTGAAAAAATCCTACTGTGATGGATTGAAGTTCTTATTTTCATATGTTGCTTATATAAACTATAGAAAAAGATTTTATGTACATATTTTGGTTTCTATTCCTGTGTTGTGCAAGGAATTGTGAATAGATTGATACGTTAAAAATTTAATTAACGCTTGAGAATCCCTTCTTTTTTCTCTTGTGCATACAAAAGTCATTTCAATAGACAACAAGCAAACAAGTACAAAGCAGACCAATAAAAACAAAATGCTTTCGTTGTTTTTTATTCGAATCGGTGGAATAGCCAACAATTGAAAAGCATAGTTCATATTAAGAAAGGTAAATCATAGAAAAAAAATTTGCTATCGCATTTTGTCAAAAGATTAGATAACATATTGAAAGAAGAAATGAATGTTCACACTTATATAAGTCAAAGGTGAATAATATGAGCTTAGTTGATAACAATTCACTTTTACCATGTTTAAGTCATCCGACTAATGCTTATCAAAATTATCGATTGATGTCTACTAGTATAAATTCGAAAAATACAAATTCATCCTCATCAGCAACGTCTTCAAATAAATTCAAGCCAATACCTAGATTAATTGCATTATGCATTCATCCGGATGAGAATTATGCACTTCGCATGATTTCTATGTTAATTTCGTCCCACTCTTCTAATTCATCAAATATACACGATGAATTTGGTTGCAATTTACTTATGTATTCACTTCGTTTTCAACGTTATCGATTATTCAGATATTTATTAAATGAAAAATCTTTAGATATTAATCTTCATGCAAACGATCGATATGGGAATACAATTCTTCATTATGCAATTTTATATGGAGGAAATGACAGTCAAATTATTGATGAATTAATTGAAAACTATAATAAATTTGCAATTGAAATTGATCGAAGAAATAATTATGGCTTTACTCCGCTTCTTTTAGGTCAGAAAATAATGAATTTTAAAAGAATATTAGTCAATTATTTCCTATATTTATAGCAATTTTTTGTGGACGTTACGATTTTGTTTTGAGTTTATTAACTAAAACTGATGCATCACCATTTGTTCGTGATTATATTCAATTAAAAAGTATGTTCGATTATATTGAAATCGATGTAAAGCATAAAGACTTAATTAATCAATGTCAAAATAAGTATGAGCTGTTTTTATTTCTACTAGAAAAACTTTCTATCTGTGATCATTATCAAAGATGTATATTTTTTGTAGACACTATTCTATTTCAAATTTGCAATTAAAACGATTACGCATTCAACTTCATCAATGTATACCTACTCGACAAGAAACTCCATTTCTTACAATGCAATCTAATATTAATAAGAATTTTTTTGAAATTATTCTACCGCAGGTGGTTCAAGATAAACTGAATTTATTACGTTCATCAATTATGGAAATGTACGACTACCAATATTCATCTACTAATTTGAAACAACTTCTAACATATTTAAATCGAAGATATCCACGTATCAAATTTTTTCAATTACCAGAGGATTCCCTAGGTAGTACAATAACAACAGCAAAGTCAGTCTTTCAACGAGACAATTCCAAAACAAATCTTCATCATATTTTAAACTTATTTGATCCAAACCCACGGCCTAATGTAATGCCACCAAAGCTGTCTCCGCAAAAGCTATTGTCAACAACTAAGACACCGATGGCATTTAAACGTTTGAGTACCAAAATAACAACACTTACTGCTTTTTCTCGAGTACAAATCGATAAGAAACGTTCATCATTTTTGACCACACGTGTTAAATAAAATAAAACAAATGTTTACTGTATTCAAACGAGAAGTTTTGTTCTCAATAAAATTTGTTGTGTCAATTATTGTTGCATACATCTCTTGAAATGAGTTGGTTCTAGATTATGTATTTGATAGAATTTTAAGCAGTAAAACTTTTGTAGAATAATTAGTATTCAGATATTTTCAGTATGAAAAACTGAGTAGAAGATGCTGTCAAAATACTATTGTGGTAGGCGTATGATTGCAGCAATTTCTTCTTTTAAAAAGCGTTACAAAACTAAATTCAATTCCACGAAACTTCAATGTCGACAAATAAAATAATATGAGATTTGATGTATCATATAGTTTAGCAATAATGAATGCAATTCAATGTAGTCGTAGAATTCATATTTTAAAAATTTATTTTTAGAACCATCACAGTAACGACAAGCTGGCTGTCAAGGTGAACATATCTATTAGAAAAGAATTTGTTTGTTACACATCGTCTTTTCAACTGTTCTTCTAAAGTAAATTTTGATGATATCAATAGATTAAGAGAAAAACATAGCTTGGTGTCAATATACATTTTACTGTGTGAAAAAATTAGTTGGTGACTTTCAAATGATTTATGAAGTCCTTTCTTGCAAGTTCTTGATTGTTATTTCTTGTACGAAAATAAAATTTACAATTAGAAAAAGAAATACTTCATGTAACTAAAGCACAAGGCACTGACTTTGTATTTAAAAAGAATTAGTCAAAAGGAAAGTTTTTGACAGAGGGTGTCTATTCAGAAAAAAACAATTCAAATAGAAATACCAGAAAAACGCAATTTATGATTTCGGATTCATTACTATGCTTGTACTAAAAAACGCTTTTAAAGACATTTTCACATGTAAGTTGATTTTAATACTTGACACATGTCAGTATATATGTAAGTAATTACATTTGCACTCGCTAACTAGATATGTGGAAATCAAAAAAAAATATAAAACATGTTTACAAGCAAACTGAATTGAGGATTAGATGTTTTGCGCTCTAATCTTCTTGTACTTCTCCATAAATTATCATAGTGCACAAATTTTGCTTTAGGATAAATATTTTATAATCGCAGCTACAAAAATGGCTTATCTAGAGATGTTAGTAGTCTACAAAGCAGACTTAACGAAGCAACAGTTCAAACCTTTTCAAAGCCAATGAATTCTATTTTTTGACATAAATATTAAACTACTTCTTCAGTTATATTCATTTGATTTGTTTTCACGAAAGCAACAACATAACAATATCTTTTTCAAAGTAACAAATTAAGAGGATACAATAGATAGTTATGTTTTTCATACAAAAAGAAAGTGTGGTTATTAAAATAGCGTTGGAGGTATTTGAAGTATTTCACAAAATTATTCTTAAAAATTCTCTACACAGAAAATTCAGTCGGAAAGTTTAGTCTCGAAACTCAGCGATAGTGTGTCTCAGTCACTCTCTTAAAATTGAATCAATTAATTATAGTTAATTATTATTCTAGTGTATTCATTGAATATATTTAATCATTAAATCGAATGTAATGTTCTCTAGTAATAAAATAAAGAAAGTTCTTAGAACAGAAAACAATTCATTTTTTTATGCTATCCTATGTTAGAAATTAACTATAAAAGATATCAATGATACACTACATATGGGTCGATGGCTTGGTTTTTGCCTGAAAGTTTTCTCTGATTGTCTGCCATCGACGAGAGCGAATGAACTGTCAAATCTTTACAGAAAATAAACAGATTTATTGTCTTGTAAAGAGATTCGATCGATTACTACCGAATTGTTTTGATTTAGACAAACACTAGATCAAGTTGACAATATGTTCAAGAGCTTTTTTTGTTTGGAATTTCATTTGTATCTTCAATTATCTGTAGTTGTCAGTAATTGATAAAGAGATATCTCGTATTTTTTTATGCTCAACTTATCATGCCAAACAAATAAAGAAGGTTTATAATTCACTTGTATTTTATTCTCACATTTATAAATACAAAATTATCATTAGATATAACAACTTTTATTCTGGACTGAATATTAGATATTGTATTGATGGATTAAACTTTCATTCATTTACTTATTAATCAAGATAAATTTAAAATATTTTCCTCATTTATGATAATTGAAATAGTAATAATGGAAAGTTCCATAAACTAAAATACATATTATCGATCGAGATGCAACGAAAGTACCATTTAAGCTTTCAAGTATTTGAAATGTTTTTTATCGTTTGTTCATTTTTTAATACATAATATCATAGTAATATTTTTTTTTATCTTCTGAAGTATGGCTACTGAAACTGTCTGCAGGACAATAATAAAATTTTGAATAGAAAATAATTGCTTCTGGAATAGAACTTATGTGTAATCTGAATGTTTGATTGACGAAAAAAAGAATATAAATCTAAATCGGATTTTTTTTCGAATCAATCGTAACACATAGATTGCAACGAATGTATAATATTCATTAGCTAAATTTTGCGGCGTTTTCGAATCGATAATTTGCAATTTGTGTCATGCTTATGAAGGAAATCTTCCTGTGGATATATTAAACTAAATAGTGATACAATACAGTCTGGATATGTGATTAACGCCAAATATTTATTCTATTTGAGTGGAAGAATATACAAGAAGTAGTTCACAATTAAATTCTAGTTAAACATATATATTTCAACTAATTTTCTAGCATGAAAAAAATGAATTTTGAAAAAACAAATAGAAAATATCATATTATCGCCACTGACACAAACATAAACAATCAATATACTAATTATCATATTATATCTGATATATGTATATTTTGATAAGTTAACTACTACTCATAATATACCATAAGTAATAAATAACTGTTATATTAAATCTTTGAAAAATATCTCATATTCTCATTTCGCAATCAAGGAGATATATATATATTTGAAGACGAACTTTGCCTAACAAACATTAGTTTTCACCAGTATGTATTCCAATTCAATCTAAAACCTTTCAAAAAGATGTGTATTCGTGGTCAATGCCACCTAACGTTTTAGGTATTCCATAGATTTTGAGTTTAATGTTAATATGAATCCATATGATATCATAGTCTAATACTATTGGTTAATCATATCGAAGTACTGATTCTGGTTTTATACATTGCTACACAACGAATGTTGTAAAAAGAATTTCATTATATAATACGATCGAGTGATTTAAGCGAGTGGATTTTCAGAAATACTTCAATGAGAAACAGTTAAGCCAATATTTGTGCAAGTATTTTTCCTATATTATAAGCGATCTTTTGTTTTTGGTATATTATGTTTCCTTAACTTGTTTTCATCGTGACTGAGAAAATCATTTATATTGATGAATCTCTTCTGTAAAATAAATTTTCAAATAATACTTAATTATTTAGACTCAATATTATATTATAGTCTCGTCAGAGGTTATTTACACAGGATGTTGTATCATTGATAAGCACTTATCAACCTTGGTTATATTTTTTACTTATGTTGAGTCTATTGCACATCACTCGATTTCCATTAAACTTCGCAATTGTTTACGGTTCTACAAAGAAAAATAAATGTTCTCACAGTTTACTATTTTTTAAGTTTTTTAAATTTATATTTTTCATTATGACAATAATATTTTCCATGTAAAAAAGTCGATTTTTCATACACATAACGATCTCATATGATAGAAAATGCAGTTTCGATGTTATCCATTAACTGATACAGTAAATGTATGATTGATTTTGTGATACTATCTTAAACGAATAAATAAATTCTTAATTTTTAGAAAATAATCGATGGAATTTATTATAGGCAATGAAACCCCGCTCAGTTATTTCTAGACATTCTCCTATTGATAGATACAAATAAATCCGGGTATTCGAAACATTCTCCAGTTCGAATGAGCACCTGATGATCATTCATGCTTAGGATGGTTTATTGAATTATTGATGATCACTTTTGTTGATAGATGAAACGTTTCATATCCAAATGTTTTTATTCATAATTATTTAGATATGCTTTGAAAAATTAAGACCAAACTAATATAACAGTGAGTGTTAAGTAACTGTCTATATAAACTGCTGAAGTATGCTGGCACACACTGTGCTTCACATCGTTGCTTCTAATGACATTCACTATATGGTTTTACTTTTCCTGATATTAAAAAAATTCATTAGATACTTGTTATTTTCCCATTAGGAATAATTAAATGAAACCGAAGACATTACTGATATGATTATTTATCTTGGTGCCTCAAATAATACCAGAACAGAAGTAATCAAACTAAAATTATTTCCTATCATTTTTACTCAGTATTCATATAAAAGAAAAAATGTTTCCGCTGTTTGTGTCCGAAGCTATCTCATACTATTATAAATATATTCCATAGTAATGATGTGAATCTATCTACACAAAGAACATCAATTTATTACATTCTAATGAATATTTCATTACATACGACGAAGAATATTGACCAAACCAATCAGTTAATGAAAAAACTAAATTCATAAAAACCATGTCATTGAAAAATATATACTATTCAATTTTTTTGTTTTCTCTATAACCATTAGATTATATTTTCAGATTGAGAGCTCTGTTAGACATGATTCTCATATTTTATTTTTACTCAATGTTTATATTCTAGAGGATATACGAAACAGCGAACACAAACATTCACTCAAATATTGTATACAAGTCATTCTGATGCACTTAATTATCTATTTGAAACGCTGAATAAGAATTAATGTGCATTCAATTATTTTACTTTTACAAGATATAAATATTTTCCTATATTTTTGTCTAACTCATACAAAAACAGTATATCTTTTATAAAATGTAAGATTAAAGTTTAGAGTACCGACTGAAGAAATTCCTTTTCTAATATAGAATATGGCAGCAAAAGTGCTTATTCAAAGACGGTTATCGCTTGTTTTGATCTCAGATGAAAATCAGTGAAATATGTCAGTCGTGGTCGAATTGAAGTTGAATAATCTAACCGAGTTCAATATTGATAAATTAACATGCATACGAAACAAATATAGTTGGATCTTTAGCAGAACTCTCAATGATTCATAATTCAAAACTGAATTGCTATAAAGTATCTAACAATTAATCAAACTATGAATTAAATTTAAACTGGCCATAAACATATTGTAAATAAATATATGCTTCTCAAAAATGATACATCAATAACTACCATTTTAGATGTTAATACGTTATTACAATCATATATAATATTATCACCTCAGTAAATAATATTTCGTTAGTAAATGATGTATCGGTATTCATTTTATTTTAAAAAATGGCTAAAATAGTGATTTTATTTTAAAGGATTCATTTCATTTCTATTTTTCAGACTTCTAATCTTTCAGAAATATACGTCAAAGTCTTTAATACATCTTCTGATTTTAAATAATTTAATATTTTCTATGATAGTAAATGTGCAACATTGAAACTATAATTATTGTAGTCAATCGTATTGTTGGTATCATGTAACCGTGTAAAAATATTGAATACTGTTAAATAGTATAATGCATGTTGTTTGTGCATTGATTAGCTTGTATACTTTTAATTCATAAGATTTTCTCATTGACGCTCTATACAATATGTTTCTATTTCCTAATTATGCATTTGTCATCTAACTAATTAACTTAACCAGAGAATGATGCAGTAGCTATGTGTACAAAGAAACCCTACTTATTATTATTCAAGATAAATATACAATATATTGGAAGAATAATTATTTCAAGATTTGTGAATGCTTTTTCTTGCTCAGTAATTTAAACTTAGAAGAAAAGCAAATTCGAAACTCGACTATTTTTATTTTGAGCTAATTCACATGTTCAAAAATCAAAATTCATTATTATTGAAAAACTCACGCTAAATTTTCTGAATAGAAATAGGATGCCAAAAGTAATTCTCAATGGAAAAAAAAAATAATATCATTGAATGTATTATAAACTATATGAGCAATAATAAATGCAATCATTAATTTATTTTTTGAAAATTTCCTCATAGGTATGTGATATCTATTACAATTTAATATTAAATGTTATTACATTAGAAAATATTCATTTAACTATCGAAGTCACCTGCATGGTCCAAAATAATACTCGTGAATGAGCATAAGTGACTGGAGCTTCCGGAATTTTCTGAATAGAAAATCTCTTGAATAAGATTAAATTTTTTTTTCTCTAAGAATCAATGTTGATGCTACTCGCAACTTCTACCCGTAATTAAGATGATTTTTGGTTAAATATTGGTATTTCATTTTTCATAAATCGGGTGCAACTTTATAAAAACTACAGAAAAAACTAAAATTTCAATTTTATACTACAGATAATTTCCAGAGAATTAGTATTTTCAATCACTGTAGTTAGATGTACTACTAAATTGTTAATATTAATCAAACAGTAAAAATTCAGCTACTTCTTATTTCTTTGTTAATCTTTTCCAGTAGCTATTCTCATGACTGAAAAGATAAGTTTTAGTTTTGTGATGATAATGAAATGTACCGGCTTATTTTCCAAGAAGAAAAAAAGGATTCTGTTGAGTATAAAATCCGTTACTGAAATCTTTATTCAGCACGTCACTAGTCGAAAAAACAAATAATACTTGCAAATATTCATCGTAAAAGAGCAAAAAAGATTATCTTAAATTTAAGCACGAATGACGATTATGTTATCAACGATTTAGTATTATTCAAAGTTTTAATTCTAGTCCTAGAAGTTTTTCTTTTTTTGTTACAAATCAAAGCAGCTGGTATCCTTCGCATGATGCATGAATATAATCTTGAGTTTGGCTGTCTTTTATTTGCAATTATCAACGGAAAATTATAGATCATAGTTCGACAATGATTTTATTCATCATGAATATTCAGCAAAGTTTGTGTTCTTATTTATTTTTTCAGCAATATTTTCATAATTAGTCATTTCTTTGCCAAAGAAAATTTATTTTTATCTATATCCCTAGGGAAATTTTATCAAAGTATTAGAATATCTATGAAAAATACTTTATTCTAGCTTGTCTAATGTGAGAAAAGAGAAAAATCAATGAGTCGGAAACAAAGTTTCATTTGTCTTCATATAAAACAGAAAGATTTAGTCATTCTTTCAGAATATTTTTTTCTCAGCATACTCGCCGACGACAAACTCTTCGTTAGTATAATCAAGTTTCTGTCTCTTTTTTTTCCTTTCTATACTTTGACATCTTCGCTCGTTTGTGTTTGTCTATTGGCCTGAAAATGCTTGTATCGTCTCTTTTTCCTCTTCTTCTACTAATATTTTCTATTCAATACAAATGGCAATGGTGTTCTCTTCTAGCAGCACCATCACCGCTCTTATCTTGTGGTGTTGCCTGTTCGAGAATGATGGTCGTAGAGAATGCTGCGCGCCGTCGAGTAGTAGCAGCCTAATCACATTAATGAAGAAGAAATTCTATCGTTGTTCTGCAGACCGTCCGTCCACTGCCGTTGCTCTAGTGGGAACAAGAAGAAAAAAAAAGAAAAAAAGAAAGAAAAAAGGAAAAAATGGAGAAAGGCGGCATCAACGAAGCGTCTGCGGGTGAGAGGATAGCTCGTCGGCAGCTGTTACCCGACCGACGACGAGTGTGAACTATTATCTACTCTGTTACAAAAGAAGAAGAAAAGAAGAAAAGAATAGGAAAAAATTGCAATAACCAAACGAGCGAGCGCGAGTAGTTCAGATCGGACCGTTGCTTATTGGCCCAATAGAGAGAGAAAGGAAGAATTTTCCGTAAAAAAAGGAAGCATCAGCCATAGAGACAGCTTTTTTCTTCTATCTCTTCTCTTTTTTTCTCTTTTCTATCTCCGTAGTGTGCAGCGTAGAGTAAGCGACGACCCACAACACAACAACAACAATATTAGTTTTACCATCATCACTAACATCTACTAGCACAAGGAATTCCATTTTTTCTTTTCTACTTTCTCATTTTTCTAATTTACAAGTATCAACAAAATTTTGGGTGAAGGATAAAAGAAAAAGAAACAAGATTTTATATTTCAGACATAAAAATTTATTGAATCAACAATAACCAAGAATGTTTTATTATTTAAAAAGTAAAGGGTATGAATTTCATTTAAAATTTTGTTGATTTATGTTTTATTCTGTTAAATGTAGAATATTGAACGTCATTTAAAACAGCCGAATCAAACCTTCATTTAATACATACACTCAGTTTCAGGTAATTTAGTTTTTATCTTTTTTGCAGAAAAAAAATACTATTAATCTGTTTTCTGTTTAATGAAAACTTCTAATGTTCGACTAGACTTTATAGTTGGGTTCTTTTTTTTTTAATGAATCCTTTAATAGTCCCAGTGTGTCGAAATTTTCCCATCTTTTATATTTAATAAGAAAGATAGCGGCGCAATACGTTAACCATCTCCATGATGGTCTTAGTTCTGGTTTTAAGTGACACGATAGTAGCAAAAAAATCCGCCCCACAATCAGTGAGAAAAATGCTATAACAAGTTGAGCAGGCGAAATACAGAAAAGGAAAGAAAGGAAATGTTCCGTCGTGATGACGCACAGTCGAGACATTTCAAGAAATTGAGTTAACAACGAAGGCAAGTTAACAATACGTGGTACTTTTTTTCTTTTTATATTTAAAATAACACCACCAGCTGAAAGAGGATACTAAATAGCTCAACATGGCGAGTAAGAAAAAAAGCACAGGAAAAAATTCTTTCTTTTCTTGTTCCATAAATCTATCAAATAGCCTACATCATTCACGCACACGATTTTATAAGTTATTTCTTTTTCAATTGTAAATACTCACTAATATATCGGTAAAAACCGAGAAACAAGAGAACATCGAGAAGAACAAGAAGAAAAATACAGAACAGTGGTACTAAGAATAACTAACACAAGCATTGCATTTATGCATATGAAGAAGAAGAAGGAAAAAAAGAAATGAAATGAAGAACATCATGTGCAATATTCGATAATTAGTGTATACTTTGCGTTCGATGTTATTTGTAACAAAAATCTAATCTTAAACAGAAAATTCCCTAGATGAAGAAGATTTTGTTTTTCCTCCTATTGAATTAGTTAAGGCGACTTTTGGCACGCAATTTCTACTTTTTCCGATCATTTAAGTTACATGAATGTTATATATATAATATAAAGACAGAAAAAAAGCGAATGCGTTTTAATATGCATTTGTGTGTGTGTCGACAAACGGAAGTAAGGAAAAATCACTTTTTTACTTTTTTACTTTTTTACTTTTTATTACAAGAAAAAAAACTCCAATAACATGAACTGGGTAGGTAAACGTATTTGAACTTGCTTTTTTAAATGTATTTTCGCATAACTATTACGTACATATCCACTTTTTCACTACAATTAATGTGTTTGCCTTTTTATTTATCTTTGACAAGTTTCTAATGAAATGGAACTTGATCGAATTCTAAAGTGCTTAACTGTGTACTACACATAGTTCCTTTTTTCTTTTACATGTAATTTCAATATGTAAATTGAATATAATAGTATGTTTCAAATACAACAAGACCATTGAGTATTCTGGAATTGCGAATCGAATTTTTCTTTCATCAGTCCGAGCCCAAACCTGAGAAAGTAAGCTTGCTATTCGACTAGATTCAAGTCCACGTTTTTGTTTTTGTTTTCGTTCATATTGGATGTTCTTTTTATATACAGTTAAATACTTAATCCAATTCTCGACTATTCATCGCGTAATTTTAAGAAAAACAAAGCTTTGTGAAAGTTTTTTATATTTGTTTAGTTTTCATTTCATTTTTCTAAATAGATTAGATAGTTTTGTATCGTTGAAAACTATATTTTGCTCTCTCAAAAATGAGATTCTATAAGCAGTTGGCCTTTCTTTTAGTTTACATTATATATGTTACTTCGTAGTTTTGTTTTTCTGTAACTTTATTTTACTTCAGGCGTTCGAAATGAGATGTTTGTCGATTAGATAATTATTTTAAAAAATGAGGAAAACTTCAAAAATAAGACAACGCATAATAAACTGATTATAGATTTTCGTTGATTTTTTAGAATTTAAGGTGAATTTTAATTCTATCTGAAATTAAATATACATTCCAGTTTACGTTCCGAATAATAGCACTAGAACCTTCGATCCTAAATCTGCACATACTACGTTCTTGAGAGATTCATTATTCTTTGGAAGAATTATACTTATTATTCATTAGTTATACGTCATTTTTGTTTTCATGAAAAATGAATAAGTCTTGACAATCATAACATACTACCAACAAAAAGAAAATAAATGTCTTTTATGTTTAGTTACGTAAAAAGCTACTTCCATCAAAAATGGGTCTTTGTGCATCTGGTATGAGCTCTGAAGAGCGTGAAGCTATGGAGCGAAGTAAAGCACTAGATAAACAATTAAAGGAAGATGCTGAACGAGCAGCTAAAGATGTTAAATTACTTCTGCTCGGTAAGATAATCCTTTTAAAATCTTTTTCTCTTGTTTTATTTAAATTTTATTTGTAAAAAAAAATAGGGGCTGGTGAATCTGGTAAATCAACAATATTAAAACAAATGAAGATTATTCATATGGATGGATATTCAAAGGAAGATTTCGAACAGTATCGAGAAGTTGTCTATTCGAATACAATTCAATCATTAGCAACGATTATTCGAGCTATGGAAACACTTAATATTCAGTTTAGTTCAAGTGATCGTGAGAGAGATGCTGCTATGGGTAAATTTTTGTTGGCTATTCGTTGCTAATAGAAAAATAATGAATTTTTGTTTCTGATATTTCAGTATTAGACAAAATTTCTCGTATGGCCGATACAGAACCATTCGAAAGTGAATTACTTGATGCAATGAAAAAATTATGGAATGATAATGGTGTACAACAATGCTTTAATCGTTCAAATGAATATCAATTGAACGATTCAGCAAAATATTTTCTAGATAAATTAGATGAAATCGGCTCACCACAATATTTACCAAGTACACAAGATATTTTACGTACTCGAGTTAAAACAACTGGGATTGTGGAAATTAATTTTACATTTAAAGGTATACTTTCTTTTGGAGTTTAAGATTGAATATCTTTTTGAATTTTCTCTTTTTCATTATTCAGATCTTAATTTTCGTGTATTTGATGTTGGTGGTCAAAGGTCAGAACGAAAAAAATGGATTCATTGTTTTGAAGATGTAACAGCAATTATATTTATTGTTGCTCTCAGTGAATACGATCAAGTAAATTTTTTTCTTTCATATTGAAACTAAAAGACAATTCATTTTAACTTAAAAAAATAATAAGGTTCTTGTGGAGGATGAAACAACAAATCGTATGCATGAATCACTTCGTTTATTTGATTCAATTTGTAATAACAAGTGGTTTGTTAACACATCGATTATTCTCTTTTTAAATAAGAAAGATTTATTTGCTGAAAAAATTGCACGATCAAGCTTAAGGTATATTTCTTTCTTTCTGTGTTTCTTTCTTTTCGTTTATGTTATTTTTATTATAATTTGACAATTTTTTCTAATAGAAAATGTTTCCCTGAATATCAAGGTAAAGATGAATATACGGAAGCCAGCGAATATATTCAAGCTCAATTTGTAGCACAAAATAAAAGCGAACAAAAAGTTTGTTATTAAAAATTATATTTTGTAAATCGATAGAAAAAAACCTGAAACGCGTTGTTTTCTATTACTTAGGAAATCTATTGCCATTTAACATGCGCTACAGATACTGAAAATGTTCAATTTGTCTTGTAAGTTTTAAGACGAACCGAGTTTTGTTAAAAATACCAATATATGTATATATATTTCTTTCTTTTAGTGATGCTGTTACTGATGTCATCATAACAAATAATCTCCGTGCCAGTGGTCTTTATTAGACGAATTATTAAAAAAACGTATTCATTATTTCTTTTATAAAAACAAAATGTTCTCGCGTATATCCAGATACCAAGTATCGCCGTCGCTCAGCTTTTTGTTTCTCTAGCTTTCGTTTTTTTTCTTCAGTCAATCTCGACAAGCGCCGGTCGATCTTTCTTTATTCATATTTGGATTTTTTTCTTTTCTTTCTTTTTCTCTTGTTGTTCTTATTTTCAATCTATCTAGAGTGCGACTAGTCAAGTATATTGATCGGAGACGGCTTTATTTCTTTTGCTGTCGTGTGTGTGTGTGTGTGTGTGTGCGGTATCTTATGTCTCGATTTTTCTTCTGGCTGCTTGTCGTCAATGTTGTTTTGGTTGTTTATTTCACGTATTTAACTTGCGCGTTTCCTTTTCTTTCTTTTTCTTTTTGTAAATGTGTGTGCTTTTCTTTTTTTTTTCTCGCAATCATTTCATTATTTTTTATTGTATTACTTCTTTATTTTAAATGTCTGACTTTTCGTTTTTCTTTCTTCACTTTGAAAACTAACGTCGAGAGCCAGACTTAAGAAATTATAATAACTATGTTGATTTTTGCTCATTTTATGATTGGAAACGATCATAAAAAAAGAATTTACCAGAGAAATCAACTAAGATATAGAAGTTTTTCTTCTATAAAACTCAAATCTATTTTACAGCTAGATTATCAGAGAAATTGAATAGTCAATGCTGTTGACTTGGACCGTGCTGATTTTTACATTTGAGCATAATAAGGTTCATGTAGATAAGTATTAAACTTCTGAAGTACGTTTCATTGTTAGATCGTTAGAATCATGGAAGTTTCACGCTAAGCTTGATGTTATCATACTACATGACAGCGAAAATGCCATGAGTATCTTCTGTAAAAAGTGATATATTTTGGTCAAAACTATTGATACTTGAAAAACTTGAATATTCTTTTTCACCGACTCTCAATTCTTGGGAGATTAGTAATTGTTTTATTTTCAAAAGTTTCTACTGGAAAAACGAATTCTTCACACAAATCACTATTTGAACTCGTTATTAATGTTCACAATAGTGCAAAAAATTTAGATAAATTTTTTCAAATAAGTTTGGCAATTACTGTATATAACAGAAAATTTCATTCTTTGACTTTCTTTTCTTTTTATTGAAGAGCACAAAACAAAACAATTGTGTTATATAACCATACGATCAAGAATAAAAACATTGGCAAACTCTATCTTTCTTATGATAACATTATTCTAGGTTTTCTTTACAAGGAAAAAACTAGCTTTCGCATGCCGAAAAGACCAAAATGATATAGTTTTCAACAACAATATCGTAAATTACGCTTTGACTAAGAAAATATTGAATGTCAGTTACATCACATAATTACGGTCCTAATAAAATTGTGCTATGGTAAATGAATGAATGGAATAGACGTATTATTCTAATTCGGATACTTGTATTTTTCCTGGTAGAAAAGGTGTCAATGACAATTATCAATAAATCATTCTAACAAAAAAAATGATAGATTATTTCGCTTATATTTTAATCAATTTCATTAGTTTTGTAACTATTAATAATGAATATCCATCATTATTCTAAATTGTTAAAATTTCAATTTTTATGAATATTCTTTATTGAATTCATTAACAAGTCTTTCTAGTTGCATCAAATAAATCTTAAAAATTTATCAAAAATTAAGATATTTTATTGTTGAAAATTATGACAAGTAGATATTTGTTAATTGCAAAAGTTGTTTCTCAATTTTTGTGACAGTATACGTTTATTAATAACTCAAGGTTAAGATTTTCAAACGTTTTCCTTTTATAAAAATGAGTTATGAGTACGAATGAAAAATATTCTCATTGTATCATGGGATAATCGAAATTTTTTCTTTCGAATCGACAGTCTTTTCTTTTCATATATTATTAATGGATAACATTTCTAGCAAAATAAACGACATACTCGAAGCTGGACTTATATTTATTTGTATGTGCATATTGACACTATGGCAAAAAATGAGTAATGACTTTTTTTCTTTACCATACTCAATATATTATTAATGATAAATTAACATTGAAATCTATAAAATTATTAATATATTTGTTTGTCAAATATCAATTGCAATAAAATAATATATGAATAATTTATTTACGATAATTTACGAAAACTACGTCAAGTTTAAGTAAAATAATAATGGAACTGATACTATAATATTTCACTAATTTAATATCACACATTTATAAAATAGTTGACACAAAATATTTCCGTTTGTTTACATTCTACAATCATTTTTACTTTTTCCTTACGAAATGTACTATTCTATTTTGCTATAATAATTTTATTTTTTAGATGGGGAGGATACTCTTGTTTTTTTTTACTTATTCTGCATGATACATCAGAATAATTTTCTTATAGTTAAACTACACTAGCCTACACATCTCTATTTGCTTGCCATATCCTGATTTAAATCGTTATGATATTTACAGTTTTTGATAGTGTTCTGATAAATGCATTTATCCATTTTTTCATTCTATTAGCCTTGTTTACTGTCTAATGTAACGTTAAAAATATTTGTTTTTGCAAGACTAAATCTAACGAAACTTTTGGTTTGAGCAAAGAAAATTTGAATTCAAAATATTGAAGTTTATATAGCATCGGAATATAATTTCTATCGATTCAAATACAAGATAAATATCTTGATAAAATTTTATGAAAACATGATAGTAAAAATCGTAATTGCGACGAAATGCTAGAGAAATGAATATGTCATATTATTAGATTGTAAGATCGATTGTACGTGACTTTTTTCATTGTTTATTTTACTATGAGGAAACTTTAGAAACTAAAATATTAAAAATTTCTCCGTGATTATTGTTTTGTGTTGATATCAGCCTATAAAAAAATTTCTGATCAAAACTTAAGAAAAAAATATTTTTCAACTTATATTTCGAAAACATGACTGATTTTTAACATTTAAAAATCTTATTATCCTAACAATCGTATCTTGTTAAAAATCATTAATATATCCTTAAAAGAATTATATTATGAAAGTTCGTAAGTGATGAGAAGATCACAGTTAATAGTTTGTTTATTCACTATATTTTATTGAAGCCAAGTATTTGTATTCTTTTTGAATATTCATTGAGAATTTTTCTAAATTTTAAAGTTAGTTCGGAAGAAATAAAATCGTATGTCCATAATTAAATATCAGTTAGATTAGAGTTTTGTCTCTACAGTGGATTCAGAATGAATATCTTAATTTAGTTCGTTTGAGCCAACGAAGAACTGAAGTGATTCCGTTAGTCAGTCATTTGAAAATATTCTTTTTAATCGATCTTGAAGATACATTAAAATTTACGCAATACACTTGTTAGATTATTTCAATACGTTTCTTTTCAAAATTTGAGCGTGAATGAATCCATTTGAATTGAAAATGAATTTAACAGAAGTAAACCAATCCATTGTTGCCAAGCATCAACTGGAAAATTTGAAATTCTTTTAATAATTTAGTCACATAGTAACCTTCACACCCTCAAGATAGAATATAATGAAGTCATTTAGTAACATTTTTCGATGTGTTCATTTCTTATCTTATTAAACTAGTATCAAGTTACGCAACAAACTATTATAGTAGAATGAAACAACTGAAGTGACTTGTTTAAAAAGAAAAAAGAATGCAACTTCCGATGTGACCGATTGTATGTGTATAGAATCTCTTTTTTTACCAATAAAACTAATTCCTTAGGTTAATAATTGAAAACATTCATAACTATTCTAATAGATTCAATTCAACCATGAAGAATTCTCTGTTAGGAAACCTTTTAAAACAAAGGAAAAAAATGTAAAAAAACACAACATTACTGACAAAATCATAGATATTTTTGTTTCTCTGGTTCATACAACATCTTAGCTCTTTTGTTTCTTTAATAGACATTGTTGATGATGGGATTCTTCTATGTCTGCACACTATGTGAGCAATGACATTCTTAGTCGTCGTTGCCTCAAGAGATTGACCTGTCCATATGGATGACATATCTCGTCTTATCCTATGAGAATCATTGACACATAATCAATTTCTTTTTTTTTGAACCGCTATTGCCTCAAGCTTATCATCATTCCCACTTGACGTTGTCCAGCTGTTTTGTCGGTAATTTAATAGATATCGTGTTGATCAGTTAATTATCACAGGTTTTTTCGTAACTCAATGAAAAGAAAATGTCATATAAATAGTCTAACAACTAGAAGTAGAGTAAATATTATATAGTTCTAGACACTACCGTATATGAATATGACCTTTCTTTGCTAGTATAGCATCGAATAAAAAGACTTGTTCAAAGGAGAAAAATCAAATTAAAATACGGAAGAACTATATTCAATATTTGTCGAACACCGAACACGTTCAACAAACATATTGCTCATTTCATTATAAACATATTAGAAAAATTTCTTGTTAGATAAATTTCTTTTCTTGAAAACGAAGAAATGCTTGTTAAACTTAAATTCATTGGTATTGGTATACGTATTTCCTGCTGTGTTCTCAATCTCTACCCTATACGACGACATACAAACAACATAAGCATATGTTCACATTGTTCAACATGTGTATAAAAAGGAGAACGACAGATTAGATGTTCTATATTCGACTGATCTACAACACTCCACGATATATATAATAAGGTATGTATGAGTGTGAAAAAAAAGATCGTCTTACATGACACTGCAGGTGTCCGTATTTTTTCAACTTTCTATGCAAAGACATTTTTGTTTCAAAAGAATGACCTCTTTTATTTGTTCGTGTATGTATGTATGAGTTGACCTTCTCTCAATGAGAACGAGACTAATTCCATATAATAGAGTAGAACGAGAAAGATGATAGAAAAAGTGTTCTGTTTCCTTTTTTTTTACTACTTTTGACAAATATTGAATCAGAGAAATAGATGATATATTGAATAAAGTAAGGAAAAGGGCAATTCTTCTTCTTCTTCTTCTTCTTCTTCTTTCTTTTGTTATCTATTAAGCTTTTCAATTTTAATTATCAATGGATACTTTAGTATCATTTTTTTTTCTATTCTCTATTAAAGAAAATAAATGATGAGTATCTAAGCAAGGTTAAGTCGAACTGTTTCATCAACTTTGTGCACATATGTAGTAGATTATTCTTTTCCCTTTTTGTAAATATATAATCATGTATAAGAGTTGACCAGTTCAATGAAGCGAATATCATATTAAAAGAGACTATCACTAGTATTGATAAAACTATTTAATGTTACAATAGATATGATGGAAAGTTTTATTTTCAATATGCATAGCACATGGGTTTTTAATTAGTTATCAGTTAGTCAATAGTGAAAATCATAAATTTGTCTTTCATGTCTACAACTTATAGTTGAATGGTTTCTCGATTTTTTTTCGTTCGTCTTTTGATTAATTTCATCATATGGAAATCTTTGAATGAGAATATTAATGTGTTCTTTTTGTCTTTGAGAATATTGAATACCTTGTGTGTATTTTTTCTCTCTCTTTCAATATGAGAATTGATTGACCATATGACAGAGATTCAAATCTTTATACATTGATGTTTGCATGTAGTATGTTCATTTTAAGCGAAAAGATAACGTAGAATAACTGTTCATTTTTTTTCTTTTTTGTCACAATAAAGATACGAGGTGTGATGAACGGTTCATTTTGTCCAATTAGATGATTACATAATTATCATGAGTTCATTCTTTTTTTCTTTCTTTCTCGATGGATGTCCAGACATCAGTTTATAGTATGAGGATCGAGTAACAAGCAGGATTAGATCAATATATATATATATATATATATATATAGAGAGAGAGAGAGAGAGAGAATAGATGTGCCTTTGAGCATTGACCATCAGCTTAGAATTGACGAGAAAGATTATGTATCACGTTGACTATTCGAAATACTTTTTTCCGCTTGATTTGCCCTTGGCTTATTTTGATCTTGTACTAATGAAAGGGTTGTCACATGTCATTAGTTGTTAATTGAAGGATGCATATTAATACTCATATGATGATAAACGATTGTTCAATTGTATAAGTGAAATGCAAAGAGAATGACCTTGAGGGTAAAACATTTCTGCATGTTTAAATGACAAGTGTCGTTTCTTTTTTTGTAGCTTTTTTCAATTCAATAGAAATAAATCAATCATAGATATTCTTTGTTCTTATTTTTACATAATATTCATCGAGCCGTACTACATTATCTTGCACATGTGATGACAAGGAGTTTTCATCAATGTAAACTTGCGCAGTGATAACGACTAGTGCATTGATCATATAGGAGTGCTTTTCTCCCTCGTATACCTAAGAACAAGTGAAAAAAAAGAACTGTATACGTTTGGTTGCTGAATGTCAAGGAAAGAGAAATTGTATATATGCTCTACTGAATGAATAAAATACCAGAGTTAGGTTGAGACAGAAGTACTAAGCGAGATAATATCCGTTGTTTCTTTTTTCTTTCTTCGTTGTTTGGTAAAGTGAAAGATATAGTAATTTTGAATGGCATCTTCATAAGAAATTCTTTTCTAGTAAGTAACAAAAGGAAGGTCAGTATTTTAAATGTATGCTAATAACAATGTGAAGTTCATCATTTTCTTGGTTGATTTCTGTGAAAGAGCGTTTTAATCATAGTGGAATATAATGTTTCTGGTATTTAATGATGATGAACTCTTTTTTTCTAGATGAAGAATGATCTTTTGAATCATCTTCCTCCGCCACCTTTATTTACGATTCGCCCACCACCTAAACCGCCAGGATCTTTGTTTGAAAATTTTCAAACCATTGAAATTTTAAATGGTCGATGTGTACGACCTTCATTGAATCTTTTAAATATTTCATCATCTTCAGCAACGATTCTTCATAAAAATGTAGAATCAATTAATTGGTTAAACATTTTTCTTCTCGTTTTGGCTGTAATTAGTGTCATTTTTTGTATTATTATTGCTATATTTATTTTTATTTGTCTCAAGTATGAACATATATTGAATTTCTCTAAGAAGTATTTTATTTTACTCTGTTTTGTTAATTTAGAAAATTAAGAAAAGAAAAAAAGCAATATAAAAATTGTATTATGTCTACTTCATTAACATCAAGACATCACCAGCAACATCATAATATTGAGGCGTGTACCAGAACGGGTGAACACTACAAGGTAATATACTACTCTTTAATTGATTAAATATTCAAGGTAAAATATATTATATTACTTAAGAAAATAAAGTACCTAATTATTCTAAAGATCTCATAGACGTAGAAGATATTCTTACCACTTTTTATTTTTTATCCATCAATCTCATGCAGACATTGAGAATAAACATTTCTTTACGATAAAATAAAAAACATCTGAAGTTTTTCTTTCTAAAAAAAATAGCTTCTGAACGAAGTTTCATTCATACTCAAATTTAGAACTCAGATATATCATTGAGACTTGCTAACCTAATGCAAAATAGCTTAAGTGAGAAATCTTCATAAAAATCTATCTTATTCTAAGCTAAGATTTGTAATTAAGACAGTTCCGACTTTTTTTGTGTGGTGTTATAAACAAGCCTTACTACTTTTGCAATCTTTGCAATAGAAAATAAGACGATATAGCAGTTTATTTCTTATAATATTCAATTAGCGAGTATTCAATACTAATTAGTATCTGCAAGAGGACGGAGAAGCTGCAAAAGTTTTACTTTTAAACTTAAGCTCATTATTTTCTTTGAAAACATGTGTTTTTCGCAAAATACTTTTGTTTTCACAGTTGTATGAGATGAAAACTAATTCTTTCAAATTTCTTCATAACTTTCCTATAGAAACCATTAAAAATACTGTCTATAGACTTTAAAATATTTTATATATTAAGAGAAAAAGATTAATATACCAACTCTAGTCAGATGTTCTTTAAATGCAGAATATGATAGAGATTTTGAATGTAATTACTTCAAATATTAAATGAATAGAATTAGAAATAAAACAGAAGAAAAAACCAACAAATCTTAAACCATTAAATAAAATAGACGATAAGATTTCTATTAATATGAATCGAAATTATTTGACTTACATGTTTTATTTTGTCTTTCTAGTGTATAAAAGACGCTTTCCATTGTTGTGATGATTATTATTCTCATCGATTAATACCAATGAAAGATAGTTCTTCTAATTGTATGCAAAAATCAAATGAAATTCTTCAATCTTCAACGATAGAAAACGTTATTGACGATCAATATTCTTTACAAAATCATCAATATGAATGCATACCTGACTATATATTAACAATGACTCGTCATCGTCATCCTCCAATAGTTTGTCATCATTCACATCAATTATATAATCAGACAAATAATATTTGTACTATACCATATGCTAGCTTTTCTCGGTCATATCTTATACCTCAAGCAGTAGCAACAACGAATACGAGTGATAGTAGTCAATGTACATGTTCATCTACGCCTTTAACAACAGTTCCTCATGAAGAATCATCAACACCTTTACTTGCTTCAATGATATCGAATGACTCGAATAAGATAAGAGCAACATCATCTCCAAAATCAACGATGATTGGATGGACAAGAAGAAATCCGTCTTCGTCAACAAAACGAAAATCAAATGAACAACAATACAGTTTTCTATCTCAATTACGTAAATCTTCTATACTATAATTATTATTGACATAAAATACAGTGATTTATTTATTTTTTTCTGTTTCATGAGTTTATTAAAATCAACTATTGCTTTGGCATATTATTCTTAATAGTCCTTTTTTGTATGATTGATGACATTGCATTGTTGTCGATAGTTCTCTAAAGAAAAAAAATGTCTACCAAAACAAATATATGTTTGTTTACACTATCGTTTGTAGTTCATTGTATTTATCATACGTGATGATATATTAGTAGTATATATTCTCGGTATGAAAGCAAAAATCGATACACTGCGATAGTACGAATTTATTTTTATTATGGAGCGCTTTACTTGCTGCAATACAATTAAAAAGCAAGAAATATTATTTTTATTTGATGCTTATCAGATTTTGACAATGAGTATCATGATTATTTCTACAAATTTTGGTTTATTCTAGTAGTATTAAAATTGAACAGAGTATTTTATCTTATTCAATTAGAACTATTTCAGAAATGAATTAACCATATTCTGCTTGATAGATCCATTTCAAAGTATGCATTCAACTTTAGCGAAATTCTATGATAAAAACTTGTATCAGTAGCGACCAAAGAATACTACAGATTATATATGGATTGCTTTTCGATAGCTGAAACATTTGATTTGTGAGGGTCAAATGTTGAAAGCTCTTCTTCGTGCAGATAGATTGATTTATATATATCCTGTAAACGGAGTGATCATTTTATTCTGCATAGTGTAATTTTTAATCCTATTCAATCCATTCCAAATTATTCCGAAATCGTTGTATGTATGACTAGTTTTTATAAATGACTAATTACTCAACATTTTGAACCTAGTTTTCCTTGCGAGATTTTTCATATTTTATTTTACTAGTTAAGATAAATTGTGATCTAAGTTGTTTCGTACTGTAAAAAATATGAATATCACAATCTTTGAAAATCAGTTCACTTGGAATACAGTAATGTCGATATTAGATATTAATGCAATGATTTTTATTTCATCCTATTTGCATAGATTAGAAGAATGAAAAGAAGATTGAACATTTTGTGTGGCGATTTTTCTCGTATTGAAAATGCGCTGTTTGATTCAGTCATTTCATGAATTAATAAAAGAAACAAATACTTGAGCAAAGAAAATTAAATTTTACAAAAGAACATAATTCCCGTAGGTGATGAATTCAAATTTTAATACTTTTTCTTTCATTTTTTAATAAAGATCCAATTCATAGTAATTAAATAGCCGATAAAAAAGTTCAAGATTCTTCAGCTATCACATAGTAACAAATAGCAATGCAGTAACAGGCCCAAATAATGAAATCAGTACATCTGAAGGGAAAGCGGGTTTCACTCAATAATAATCACTTGAAATACTGATTAAATGTTTTTCTTGAGGTTTTGGACATTTCTTCTAGTTTCTATTGCTACAGATATATGTAGGAGGCAATAATTCCAGATACTACATGTGCTCTTCTTTCATGGTACATATACCAGGCGAAGTGCTCTACGTGTATGTGTACTGTATGACACACAGACCTCCTGTACTTTCGATATATTTAGCAATAGAAACTAGAAGATATCTCGATGAATTCCAATAAGAAGTCACTACGAAAATCATTTAAAATTACACACAACTATTTGAATTACATCAAATCATTCTGAATCACGCATAAACTAAATCAATTTACATTTAAAAATCATTTATCGAACCAAGAAATAAAGTGGAATATTAGTTTATTAATACGAATGTGATCACAGCGACACTCATATATCCATTCATATCCACACACTTCGAGACAGTTTAATCGATGTAATTTTCTTTAGTATTGTAACTTTGCACAGTTCATTTTATTCTGTCTTATCAATTTGATATATTTTTATTCATGTTGTTTTTTCAGAAATTTCAAAATCATTTATTTCTTATAGCTTCTACTTATCTACGACAATGTTTCTTGTGTAACAATATATAGCTCGTTGAATGGTGAAGACGTTCATCTTATCAAAGGATGTTTGCACGAATCGTATTGCGAGAACAAGCAACTAGTTCTTTATGCATCACTACCACATGTGTTTTCGTTAATAGAATACTTTTATATTCTCGTACATGATACTGAAATTGATAGAAATGTATAACTACTGTTTTTATTTTAATTGTGAATAGAATCTAATCTCAGATAGTTTCACACACAGTTTATTACTTGCAACTATGCGTACATTTCAAATTTGCGCTTTTGACTAGAACGAAGAGAGAAACATGGATTTTCCACACAGTCTCATGCATTCATACTTCATTCCTGTACAGTCATTCGTCAACTTAGACAGGAAAATGTGACAATTAGTTTTCAAACGGAATTTCTTGCTAACAGTAATAAATATATATGAGCCCGGAAATATATTTCAAAACTTTCATGAAAAGGTTATTGATTTCATCAAAAAATTACTTTCATTGCTTGATGTCGGTATCTTAGTCAAATATATTTTAATCAATACGAACGATGCTTTAATTGAAATGGAGAAAAGCATCGTTAGTTCACATAATATTTTTTTTTGATCATTACTTTCATACCAATCTTAACAATAAAATGTCCACGATCACTATAGGTAACCTATAGACTTGAGATAAGTTACTTTTAAATGAAGTATACTATGACTGTATCCTTGCTCTTTTCTCGCATCAACAATCGTTTTCTTTCTCCTTTCTCCTTTCTCTTTCTTCCCGACATCATAATAGCTTTTTGTGTTTCACTTACTCTACAAAGATATAAATCCACAATAAGAAAAATGTTACTCCGACCATTTCTTACATATTTCAAACAGGTATTTTTCTAAATTATTTATTTGAATTGTTTCAAGAGAAAAAAAAAGAGTATCTCTTTTTACAATAGAGAATTCGACAAGTGTCGACACATAGAAAATCAATCGACGAATTTTTCACTCAACATCTTTCATTTCCTTTTCTTCAATATAAAGAACATTTACATGTAGCTCGTGCTGAACGTCAATTTATCTATGATACAAGTGGTAAGCGCTATTTGGATTTTTTTGCTGGCATTGTTACTGTTGGTGTTGGTCATTGTCATCCACGATTAATTGAAGCAGCCACAAAACAAATGAATACATATTGGCACGTATCATCATACTATTTACAAGATCCTGTACGTGATTATGCTGAAAAGTTGTTAGAACATTTTAAAGATGACAAACATTTATCGGTATACAGTTATTGATGTGAATGATAAAAGAACAATGAAAGTTTTTATTTTTACATTTTAGGTTTGTTTATTTGTAAATAGTGGTTCAGAAGCGAATGATTTGGCATTACATTTAGCTAAAGAATATACGAAACAAAATGAAGTTATTACACTGAGGTTGAAAGAAAAATGAATTTAATTTTCTGTTTTTTTTGAGTTTTTTATTATTAGAAATTCTTATCACGGTGTTGTTCAATCAACTTTATGCTTGACGAATATTGCAGGGTAAATTGAATGTCATGTTTAATTGAAAAACTACATCACATCTTTTATTAGATTTAAACGGTCATATTCAACTGGAAGTCGTGTTGCTATGAATCCTGATCCATATCGTGGTATATGGGGAGGTCAATATTGTCGAGATTCACCTATACAAACTACTCGTTCATGTAGTTGTCAAAAAGATCATTGCCAAGCATCGGATCGATATGTTGAACAATTGGAAGACATACTTCATTATGAAGTTCCGAAGAAGAAAGTAGCTGCAATGTTTATTGAATCAATTCAGGTTTAATAGTATATTTCTCGAATGTTAATAAATTAACTAATGTAATTAGGGATATGGTGGTTCAGTACAATATCCAAAAGATTATGTTAAACAAGCAACACAGCTTATACAAGAAAATGGTGGGCTCTATGTTGCAGATGAAGTTAGTGCCAAATTCATGAAATGACTCTTCTTTTGTAGACATTAAAGATTTGTACTTAGGTTCAAAGTGGATTCGGCCGTACAGGAACTCATTTTTGGGGTTATCAAGCACATGGAGCTAAGCCTGATATTGGTAAATAGAAAATATTTCAAATAAAATTTAATCAATATTCATTCTCCTTAGTTGTTATGGCTAAAGCAATAGCCAATGGATTTCCTTTTGCTGCTATTGTTACTCGACCTGAAATTGCTAAAACTGTTGGATACTATTTTAATACATATGGTGGAAATCCCATTGGTTGTGCTGTTGCAGGAGCTGTACTTGATGTTATTAAAGAAGAAAAATTACAAGAAAATTCTCTTCGAGTAGGAACGCATTTATTAGAAAGTTTAGCAAAACTACGCGATCAAATGCCTAATGTTATTGGTGATGTTCGTGGCAAAGGTTTACTTATTGGAATGGAAATGGTTACAGATAAAGTAATAACTTAATCAATGAAGAAAATAAATTTCTAATCTCTATTGATGTTTACTTTGGTAGGAATCACGTAAACCATTGCCAATAGGAAAAATGAATGCGATTTTAGATCGTTGTCGAGATAATGGTTTATTAATAGGTAAAGGTGGTAACTTCGGAAATGTCTTTCGTATAAAACCACCCATGTGTATTACAATTCAAGATGCAGATTTTGCTGTTAATGTATTAGAAGATGCTATTCGAAAAGAACTTTAAATTGAACATTCTTTCATTTATTTATTTTTTCATTAGTTTTAAATTATTCTTCATTTACTGTAGATGTTTTAAAATTTAATTATCATTTCTAAAAAACTATATTTAATGTCCAAATAAGAAAAACTAAAATATTTTTTTCACATATTGATAGTCGTCATTCTTTTTTTTATTAATTGCCTTTTCTATCTAGAGATGAAAGATTGTATGACCTTTGCCCCACTTTTCTTTTCAATATAAAGATAAATTTCACATCTCGATATATTTGTTTCACAATTATATTACTTGTTACTAGTGATAAGATGATCTTCGTTTGTTCTGCACTCATATCTATTCTATGAACTCACAAATAGAAACGATGGAATTAAGCAACCGGTAAACGTGCTAATACACG